CCAATTAAATTGTGAAGGAGCACTACACTTCCCTACAAACAGAAATTGTCACTCAAGGAGGGTGACATGAGACCCTCTGGGTTAGAATACGGGGAGAACACAGTGAAGGGGATATAACTGTAGGAGTCTGTTACAGGCTTCCTAACCAGGAGGAAGAGCTTGACTGCAAATTCACTAGGGAACTGGCAGCGGCTGCATGCTCTCAGTGCATGGTCATCATGGGTGACTTCAACTACCTTGACATCTCATGGGAAGAGCATTCAGCCAAATCTGATCGGTCGCGAAGCTTCCTCGCTTGCATTGACGAGCTCTATTTGGCTCAAGAAATCTATGGGCCGACAAGAAGCAAGGTTCCTCTGGATTGGCCAAAGGGGATGATCTAGTCAGCGACCTGAGGATTGAAGGGAATCTTGGTGACAGTGATCATGAGTTGATCACTTTCTCTATCCATCACAAAGCTGGCAAATCAGTCAACAATGCAGAAATCCTTGACTTTAGGAAAGTGGACTTTCACAAGCTCAGAAAGTTGGTTGTTGAGACCGTGATCTGACAGGGAGGAGTGTCCACAATGAGTGGTCAGTCCTTAAGGACATGATCCTAAAAGCACAAGGGAAGTCCATTCCAGCCTGTAGGAAATGTAGATAAGGACTGGGAGACCCACTTGGCTCAATAGGGAACTCATAGATCTCCTGAATCTGAAAACAGACGCTTATAAGGGATGGAAGTTGGAAACCACCACTAAGGATTATGCAGCACTGCCCCACACCTGTAAGGAGTGGACCAGAAAAGCCAAGGCTGAAACCAAACTCAAACTGGATATGGAAATCAAGAACAATAAAAAGTTCTTCAAACACGTGAGAAGTCGACAAAAAAAACCAAGGGCACCATCGAACCCTTGCTGAACCAAATGGGGCAGCTGACAACTGACACCCAGGAAAAAGCTAATCCTCTCAATGATTACTTTGCAGCGGTTTTCCGCCAGCCTAAGGGGATCACCCTGCCTGACAGGATACGGGACTACCAGGGTAAGGGTGATCGTTCTAATATTATAAAAGCCTCAGTCTGTCTGTCTGTCAGTAACGCTTTATTTGTACTCTGATTGGCTGACTGAAACAACCAATCAGAGTGCTTCAAGAGCGTTCAGAGAGGGGATGGCATGGCGGAGTACCGCCATGACGACAGGGACACGGGGGGGATGGAGCGGGGTGTGGTGGGGAGCACAGTTGGCCTGCCCCAGCCCCACAGGCAGTGGGGGGAGGGGGCCCATTTCCCCCCCTCCCAACTGGACGAGAAGTTGGGGTGGGGCCAGACCTGGGGGGATATGGAGCTGCCGGGGCCCAACACAAGCTGACAGGTATGGGGAGGGAGAAAGGAGAGGAAGAGGGTGAGGTGTGGCAGTGCCCCACTGCTGCTGTGCCCCAACAACAGCCGGGGAAGGGGGGGAGCGGCCCCAAAGTGGTGGGGGAAGCGGCCCCATTGGCCCCCTCCCAACAGGATGAGAAGTAGAGGTGGGGGCGGACATGGGACCATGATGGTGGGGAGTGCACTGCCATCATCCCAGACCGTCAGGCCCTGACAAAAACCAGCAGGGAGGGAGAGGAATGGAGGGGGAGGGAGGGGGGTACCATGTGGACCCAAAGGGAGGGAGGAGGGAACAGGCCCAGACTCGAGGAGGGACAGGGGAGCAGGTCCAGACCTGAAGCATTGTGGAGGGGGGGACAGGGGCAGGGGCTGGAAACTAGCCCCTGTCCCTGCCCCCTCCCCCCTGTCATTCTTGATGGGCAATTGACTAATATGCCTATAACTAGCAAAGATCTTGTGAGGGAACAGCTTAAGAGGCTGGACATCCACAAGTCAGCTGGCCAAGACAGTATGCACCCAAGAGTGCTAAAAGAGTTGGCTGACATCATAGCATGACCAATGGCAAGGATAGTTGAGAACTCTGGAGCTCAGGCGAGGTTCCTGAAGATTGGAAGAGAGCTAATGTGGTGCCTATCTTCAAGAAGGGAAAGGAGGAGGATCCAGGGAACTACAAGCCAGTCAGGTTGACCTCAGTCCCTGGAAAGATCTTGGAAAAAATCATCAAAAAAACCATCAACAACAGGCTAACAGAAGGCAACATTCCGAGAGAGAGCCAACATGGCTCCGTTGCAGGTAGGTCTTCCCTGACCAACCTCATTTCCTTCTATGACCAGGTGACAGATCACCTGGACAAAGAAGAGGTTGATGTAATATATTTAGACAATGCTTTTGACTTGGTCTCCCATGATGTCCTCGGCCTTGACAACCTCACAGTCTGATGGCTCAGGAACTGGCTCTGTGGTTGGATCCAGAGAGTGATAGTCGATGGAACTGAATTAACATGGCACATGATGACCACCGGCGTTCCTCAGAGCTCAGTATTGGGACCAATACTCTTTAATACACAGGTAGTCCTCGGCTTACAGCGTCTCGAGTTACAATGTTTCGCACTTATAACATTTATAAATTAACACCCTGTTTCAACTTTATGATGTCAGTTTTGACTTTACAACGCTTGATCCAATGCAAGGCCATGCCAGCGAACAAGTTCACCGCGTCACCTATCTCCGTGGAGAACATCTGTACAAACTTCCTTGGACACTTTCTTTAAGAAAGCAGACAAGACTCCAGAAAAACCTGCAGCCAAGACTCCTGAGAAGACTCCAGCCAAGAACCCTTCACAAAGTCCAACCAAGAGTCTTCCAAGAAGTCCAGAAAAGTTACCTCAAAGAAGTCCTTCCAAATCAACATGATTGCTGCTTACAATATAAATGCATTAATGTAGCTATATTACTCATCTATTATTGATCGAGTACAAAATTCTGGGGTATTTTTGGTGAAAATAGGGTTCAGGAACCTATCCCCCATTTATAACGTTATTTCTTATGAGAAAATTGGTTCCGAGTTGCAACTTTTCAACTTAAGACACGGTTTTCAGGAACCAATTGTGCCTGTATTCATAAGTGATCTGGATTCAGGTGTCAGAAGCGGACTGATTAAGTTTGAGGATGACACCAAATTATGGGGAAGTATGGTCACTCTGAAAGAGAGGCTGGCAATTCAGGCCGACCTGAATTTGGCTCACAAGGTGGGTGGATCAAAACCTAACATTCAACATGGAGAAATGCAGGGTGCTCCACCTCAGGAGAAAAAACCCACATCATACTTAAAGGCTCGGCAGTGCTACACTCACTAGCACCACAACCGAAAAGACTTGGAGGTCATGAGTGACCGCAAGACGAACATGTGCTACCAATGCGAAGCTGCAGCTAGCAAAGCAAATAAAACTCTGGCTTTTGGGAAGGATGTGGAGAAGCTTGAGAGTCCAGAGAGCCACACACGATTAGAGGTCAAAAGAACAGGTCTTATGAGGAGAGGCTGAGGGACATGGGACTCTTCAGCCTGGAGAAGCAAAGGCTCAGGGGTGACTTGGTGATAGCCTATAAGTATATAAGGGGTGCACACCAGGAACTGCGAGAAGGTCTGTTCACCAGGGTACCTCAAAGGAAGACAAGATCTAACGGTCAGAAACTGCTGGAAGACTGTTTTAGACTGGACATAAGGAAAAAAAATTACTGTCCGTGTCTCCAGGGTCTGGAATAGACTCCCTCAGAAGTGGTGCAAGCACCTACTATGGATATCTTTAAGAAAGATACTACTCTGGATATCTTTAAGAAACACCTGGAATGTTTATCTTGCTGTGGTGATCTGACCCCTGCTGACTTCCTGCCCTTTGGGCAGAGGGTTGGACCCGATGATCTCACGAGGTCCCTTCCAGGCCTAATGTCTAAGAAATCTAAGAAATTCTGTGTTAACTTGATGACTTGGGGTTTTTTAGATCCCAATACTGCGAAGACTTGTGCATGTGTACTTCACTCCACACAGCCTGAGTAATTCCACTGAATGCAATGGAACTACTCACAAATGCATAGTTAAATATGGGCATGAGTCTGCAAGATCAGTGTGTTAGACTGTAAGCAATTTAAGACAAAGATGACCTGGCCCTCTGCATGTTAGAATAATAATTTCCTGTAACTGCACCTGTTAATGGTGTAGACATGATATGCTTACTCAGTGGTAAATTGATTTAATACAGTAAAAGTGGAACAGACACACAACATGCAGCCCAGCTACACAGTGGGCATATCTACATGTGCAATTAAGGTGCAGCAATAAATTCCAGTGTTTAACGTGCCAGAGTTTATTGCTCCCAGATGCAACATTTGAACATGTGCCCAGGACCGCAGCACACTGAGCCAGGGCAGAGCAGCCCCAGCTGGCAGGGAGCCCCAAGGGTCAGCTTGCTAGCCTAGGCCTGCTCCTGCCCAACTCAGCATGCTGTGGAGGGGCTGGCTGAGGCACAAGGGTACCTCAGTGCATGGCTAGTCAGTAGTCAGCCCCCACACGGAAGCACCCTTGTGCCCCAGCCAGGTGCCTCAGCATCTACACGTGTTACTGCGGAGTAAAAAACTCTGCAGCAAGGTAATATTTGTTTTTACAAGTACTTCCCTGTTGCAAAGTTTATTAGTTGCCTGCTGCCCAATAGGGCCACACATGTAGACACCGAGATCTTTACTTTGGAGTCAATTAGACAGCTCTGCAGTAAACATCTCATGCAAATGTGCCCAATGAGTCACTCAGTTCCAAGGCGAACTGGAAAGTACCCCTTGAAAAATATGTAGTAACCTTACATGGGAAAGTTACTAAGTGAAACGTTGTGGGGCGGGGATGCACATCCATGCCTGCATGCATTCCAACAGTCAGTTTTATTCCTGAGTTTGCTCAGTGCAAACTAGTTCTCACACCTAGTAGGAAAGTACTGCAGTAGCAACTACTGCAGCTGCCAGCTTGGGAGAGCTAGTCATATGTCCATTTCTTTCTAGCTGGAAAAACTGCAGAGGAGAAAAAAACCAAAATGTTCAAGGAAGCACCTCAACGTTCAAAAAAGGGGAGGAAAAAAAAGAGAAGCAAAGCAAACCTGAGAATAATCGTTATTTAATTTACAGGTACTACAAGTTACGTGAACAAAAAAATCAAAGCTATTCCTTCAAAATGTTTTCAACTACAACTCATTTTTGCTTGGAAAAAATTTCTAGTTAAAAATTTTAAACCAGCTCTAAGAATGACCTTTTTGAATTTTGACAACAGTGAAAAGTGTGAAAGTATGCTACCCAGACTACAGAGATGATAAGGTATGCCAGCAGATAGATGCAAGTACATTGTGGTACATGAAGCTAGCTAGATACTTTTAAAATTATGCTTTTTGGTACAAATAGAAATAGAAATAATGGTAGCTGGACACCAGCTACTGTTTGATCCTAATAATAACATAGACAGTCAAAGGTCTTCCTTATGAAAACTTCTCTGTGCTTTGAATATATGTACATCTTTACTAGTGTCATAGTGGACCTCATGTACAGAGAAATGTCCCTTCAGCATCTTCAGGAAATTCTGATCCCGTTCATAACGAATCCGGCATGAAAGCAGAATCGTGGTGTGTTCTGAGCAAAGATACTCTAGTGTCTCAAGCAGATCCACAAATGTTTCTTCCAGATAAATGATGTCTGCACCCAAGATAAAGTCAAATTTTCCTGGAGAGAAATTCTCCAAGTTTCTTCCCCAAGTCAGTTCCTTTACCACAGCTCTTGGATGGTGTTCAGAGGGTAAGTTATCCTGAATGTTTGACTCAAGAAATTCCAGGGCTGATGCCCTGTCTGTGATGGTGACATGAGCACCTATGACACAAAGAGCATATGTCTCAAGACAAAATAACTGACATCCATCAATATGACTTCCAGAGTATATTTTAAGCAAAGCAAGCAGTTCCCACTAAGAATTAAAAATATTACCAAACAAAATTAAAAATTTACCAAACTGAGCTACTTGATTTTAAAAAGAGACACTTGAAATAACTTCATTCCAGTGCTAAGAGAGCATTACTCAAATCAACTTTTTTTTAAGAAAACAATTCTTTAAAGAAAAAAAAAAGTTGCTTTCTGCCTTTCCAACAGGCAGCTACAGGCAGAATAAATTAGAGATTATTACAAAAATAATCCTCTCAGATTCAATTTCTGCCTTGATGTGGTATTTGATTACGCAAATTAGCAACAGAGATCCAGGCAAAGCAGATGGACAGCTGAAGAGCTTTCTCCACAGATATTATTTTTAAAGCATATTAATGACTGCTATTTTACCTAAAATATTTGTTCAAATTTTTTTAATCTCTTTTAAATGGAGCCCGCCACTTGCTCCTTCAACTGTTATTAAAATGTATGGCTACTTTTGAATGTAGTTATGCCTTAACCTGTATTTAAATAGCAACGTGCAAAAAGTAAATTTGAGTTCAGCTCAGTGAGAGTACATCTGTGTGAGAGTTGGTAACACAAGTTTAGACACAACACAACAACATGCGCTTTCTACAGTAGTGTATAGGTGCTAGTTAACTCATCCTCAGCCAGTGTAAATTGTCACAGCTCTGCTGACTCCAATGCAATCATTAGGTCAGTTCTGCCCAGCAGAGTAGATCCCTAGCTGGTATGAACTGGCACTATTTTTTGGCCTAGCTCTACTCCACCTCACCTCAAGTCATGTTCTCCAGCCCCTGAAAATGGTTAGCGGGCTGGAGAACATGACTCGTGAAAGGCTGAGGGAAATGGGGTTATTTAGTCTAGAGAAGACTGAGGGAGGATTTTAATAACCACCTTCAACTATGTGAAGGGTGGTTCCAAAGAGGATGGAGCTAAACTGTTCTCAGTGGTGACAAATGACAGAACAAGGAGCAATGGTCCCAAGTTGCAACAAGGGAAGTTTAGGTTGGATATTAGGGAAAAACTGTCTCACTAGGTGGGTAGTAAAGCACTGAAACAAGTTACCCAGACAGGTTGTGGAATCTCTATCCCTAGAGATTTTTAAGACCTGGGTAGAAAAAGCTTTGGCCAGGGTGATATAGTTGGGGATGGTCCTGCTTTGACCAGGAGGCTGAACCTAGATGATCTTCTGAGGTTCCTTCCAACCCTAATTTGCTTTGATTCTGATACTCCCAGTGAAGTCCATAGGAGTTTTACTACTGATTTCAGCAGCCCCAAAAAATCCCAACCAACAGCTTCAATCAAGTCTACCTGCATGGATCTACTTGTAGCGTCTGACTTGAAGGCCACAAGTAATAATAATAATAATAATAATAATAATAAAAAGAGTATGACAGGTGAGGAAGATATGAAGTATTGTTAATGCACAGACAAAGCATTGAAGATAATTAAAACACAGAAGTTTCTCAGCTAATGTTGGTTATTAAGGAGCTAACTTTAAAGCACTCAAATGCAGATTTATTTTAAATTGAAAATCAAACTAATACTAATGAGGCTGAGCATTCACAAATGTACTATAAATTCTGAAGTAGTGGCTCAAACACCATGAAGCATCATATCTTATTCCTTTAATGTGGGATAAATCGGGGGTGTCTAAATAAACGTTGAGATGAGCGATGGAGACAAAGAAAACAAACCCAAAGCTCTGAGATGCAGATTTATTACTGATACCAGTGGTGGTTTAAAACTGCAGGGGCTCATTATGCACATCCCCACTAATAGGGGAAGCAACAGAGCAGAGCAGAGCAAAGCACACAGGACAGCTGACTGAGTTAGAGCACTTATGTTCTGTTCCTGGCTCTGCCACCAACTCGCTGTCAGACCTTGGGTCCATTATTTAGTCTCTCTGGACCTTGATTTCCCTGCCTGTAAAACAGAATTAATCATGCTTATGCAACACATGCCGGGATACCTATGCATGGGAAACAGTGTGGCAGTACTGTGTATTAATACATCTGAGTGACATAAGCACAATATTTATTCCCTTGAGGGGGAATAGCTACTGAACTTAATACCATTGAGCTAACTATCATGGTAACTATAGTCAGCATAAGAGGATTCTGATATGAACAAACCTGCTGAGGCACCATCCCCACAATAAATGATGCAGTAGGCTCCAAAGATTAACAAGAAAGGAAGATGACTCAGAGGGGAAGTGTCACAGTAAGTGTCACACAGCCTCTGTGTTAACCTTCATAACAACCATGTGGCCTAATGTGTGAATCTAGCTGCAGCACCAAATTCTTAGAGAACTTACCCAAGAGTGTGGCCACTATTCCCAGTAATCCAGTCCCTGCTCCTAGTTCAATCACTGAGCGCTCTCGGAGATCAATAGCTCCTGTCTCCAGATAAGAACACAGGACTACAGCCTAAGCCAGGAAACACAATGATTAATTAAAAATGGGACTTCTTAATTGTAGTATTTCTGATATACACCAGTAGAGAAGGTTGCAGGAAGGGTATGGACAATCAGGCACCTCAAGTATACAGCTATTCTTTGCCAGCAACTCTATAAAAAGCCTGACAGGAAGCAGAGGACTGTCTCCGGCACTGTAGGAGAAGAAAAAGCAAGTTAAAGTGAAGGCTTGGATTTCATAAAGAAAGAAACCATCATATGATATAAAACAAAAAAAAAATAGTAGCATGAAGAAAGGAAAAGCCAGGGTTCTGGTCATGCAATGAGGAGCCTAAAATGAACGCAAAATGGCAGAACTGTTGAAAAGTAGATTAAGTCCTTATAAATATGTTTATGACTATTGAAAAGATTTAGATTTCATCTTGGTGCATGCTCTCTTCCATAAAATATATGAGTGAGAGTCAAGCAGTTGACTGTACTGAGATGAGAACATTTCGACAAGTATAGATTACATCCAATATAATCAACAGTAAAATCTTCCAAACCCAAATCATCACTTAGGATGTAGCTGAATTTTCTGTAGTGGATGTTCTTACCATTCGATTTTTGCCTTAGGACAACTGACAAGTGTATTAAAATATATGTGGTAGTTAATACAAATAATTAAACATTATTTATGACCAGATACAGAAACACAAAGTAATGGGCAGAGCAGAAGTACCCAGGAACAAGCTCTGCCACCGAGTCCACCTGTCTCTGGTCATGGATAAGACATACAAAACTTTCTGCTTCAAGTTCCCTATTTGTAAAATGGAACTACTTCTACCCCTAATCATGGTGCTGTGGCTGTACAGTCCCTTGAAAATAATAAGTGCTTTGTATATGCCAAATACCATTGTTTAGAGTTAGTTGAAAAAAAAAAAAAAAACTGTGTGGAGGTGGGTAAGAGAGGATTGTAAAAAAACCCTGAAATTTCAAAAGCTCCTTGTTTTGCTTGCAGGGATCAAAAAATGGTCGATTTTTTTCTCAATGTTTGTTATATTTTTTTCTCAAATTATTACAGTATATAATCAATTAAAATATTGTCAAAATTTCTCACTTTTCCAAAAATGTATTTCTTACCAAAAAACAATTTCTGGTATGCTTTAAAAAAAAACAAGCCATGGAAACGACCATCTATTTCTAAAAAAAAACCCCAATCTGATTCTGAAAACAATGGACTAAAATATTGATTAAAAACAGTGCAGGAAATTGTGTAAAACAAGAAATGTTAATGATCCCAACAGCGTATCTCAGAAAGATTTGTTTTAGAAAACAAATCATTTTTCAACTAAGGAAACCCTTTGTCCATAAAAGAAAAATTGTGTCAAGCTTTGCTAATGTTAGAAAGTGAACCCCCAAACATGTGTTTGCTTCACTTTCCCCTCCATAAATTAAACAAAAAAAAGATATTGGCCTTACATACCGCATCCCATACTACTGCTGCTACACCCAGTTGTTTCCAGTTTTGTTTGATTTTGATTGTGTGGTTGGCAAAATGGTAAGTAGATGATGATTTATGCAACTTCTGCAATCCCCAAACAGCATTTTTGTCATAGGGAATCAAAGCCATTTTATAATACCCTCTGACCTGTGGAGTACAAAAAACAAGTCTATGTGAAGCTTCAATGACAAACTTGTGCACGTTTTCCTCTGCCTTAAAGCTTTTATTTTTGTTTGTTTGACTAACTTGATGGAAATTCCAAATGCCGCCTCTGCTCCCAAGATGCTGAAATGCATACAGTGATACCACAAACCCCCAGATCACAAAACCCCCAGATCACAAAACCCTAACCCAAACGGATTCCAGTTGGAATATCATCAATGAATCAAGAAGTCCTTAGAGGATTTCCAAGGGGGAAAATATGTTAAGAAAGATAAACTCCAGTTAATAATAATTAACATTTAGATTACAGTTCATGGGGGGCATTTAGCGTATAAATCTGACCTTAACTCAATCTGAGTTTTTGCTTTGCAATCCATTTTAACTAACTGTCCTACTGATTGTCTTACTTTGTAAGGCAGTAAAGGTCCCTGGAGGCAGAGTACTATTGTCAAAATAAGCAGTCAGTGAGTAGCATGCACAAAAATTTTAAATGAGATTGTTCTTTAGCATCTCTTTACTGGAGTAAGGTGAGGGGTCATATTGGCTTTTCAGCCGCCTGTAAATTGAGCTTAGCAACCATCAGATTTAATGTACCATAGCCCATGTGACGTACAGAGAAAATGTTTCAAGTATTATGAAAGACTGTCCTTCTGTTCGTCTGTTCAATTGTGCACTGCTGCCTGCGTGAATCCATACCGTTAAATCAAAGCAGCTCTTAAAGTTAGGCCAAAGATACAGATAAAACGGCTGAGAGAGATATGCCTTCAGAGGAGTTGAGATAAGTGTCTGGGCTATCAGCCGGAGGGAGAAGTCATCTCTATGGCTCCATTTTGGCTAAAACGCATCACTTCTCCCAAAGCTGAACTTAAGATCAAAGGAGACCAAAAACCTCAAAGAGCCTAGCCCAGGGAGGGGGCTGGGTGAGCTAGCAGAGGACCAAGGGGAGTCGGTGAAAAGGGGCACCCCAGCTGCCACCCGGCGAGACAAGCAGGCAGTCGTGCCAGGTTAGCATTGGCTGCTTGTGCAGCCAGAGGTGGGCGGAGGTGATCAGCTGAGGCGAGCAATACCCGTGCAGAGAAAGGAAGTTCTCCCACGACGCGGGTCACCTCTCCAGCGCCTGCCGCGCCCGCCAGCACGGCCTCGGCCTGAGGGCCGGGAGAGTCGGGCCGGGGGCGGCCCGCG